TCTCTCTCTCTCTCTCTCTCTCTCTCTCTCTCTTTCATTAGTAGCACGGTGTGTTCAGTAAGCTCACTGCAGTTGGTACAAATGATTTTCAATACATGTCTGTTCTTGCTTTTTTGGAAATGAGCCGTTTACTTGGGTCGATAATAGAAATTCCAGTGTCAATAGGTGGATATGGTCGTAACTCTTTTAATACACTGAACTAAAAAACGCTTTAACCTCCGTTTGTCTTTGGACTCGATGACCTGTTTTTGTCTCCATTTCCTTCCCATACTGGTCACATGGTTGCAAAGAGGTGTGTGGTTGAGATGTGAAGCGCCCTGCCCGTCCTCCTCTTCTGTCCCCCCTCCCCCCGGTCCCCAAACTTCCACACCGACCCCAAAACAGAGCAGAGCAGTCAGTTGTTAGTTAATTGCTTTGCTCAACGGTTGCTTTTTGGATGAATCCACTATGCTTAAAAAATGCGAACAAAGGAATAGTTATTACGCGGAAACCAAGTGTGTCCTTCAAAATACGTCATCACCTTGACACAAACTAATTGTTTTCCTTTATGCGTCGCTCGGATGTACTTGCTTCCTTGTGGGACACGCAGTAACTTTTACCTTTCTTTTGACCTGGTTTTTACAGCACCGCCGGGAACCACTATAGAAAGGTTGTTTCCGATAGAGCATAACAGCAGAAATGTTGAAGTTAATAGTATTCTGAACATCTTGGGGGGTTTGCACTCTACGAAATATCTACGATATCAAGTCTTGAAATTTTGGAATCTGACCCTGCATACAAGATAACTTCACGGCTTGCTCCGCAAAATGTGTTTAGCGGTACACAAGACCCTTCATAAGTTTCAAAACCTTCAAATTAAGATATTATTATTCTGATTCAGAACACTTTTCTAGGTAATTTTACTTAATCTCATGCCAATATCTTCAGGGTATGTTTGAAAGACACAGCAGAGAAAGATGACTTTTAAAATAAAAGATTGCCTTTTATTAGATTTAGGGCAGGGTAAAAAAACATAAAATAAACATATTTATGAACAGATTTCGCCTATGTTTTTAATTGGAAGCAATACAAAAGATGCATTAAGTTTATTAAGTTTAATTTCAAGGCATAACTCCGATTTCTCCTTGATCGACTTTAATCGCGTATTACTATCTCGAAAACACTCAAAGCGAGAAGCAACGGGGTCTGTTATGCCATCACATATTGTATAAATTCTAAAATCTCACCCTGATAAAAAAAAAAATAGAGTTACAATTCCCTCGTCCTTCGTCATACATTTAGGACGATTTGTATTACCCCACGGCAGACATATTAATTTAAATTCCTTAATTTTCATGTAATATAAATTGGTAGATGCATACAACCGTGATGCTTGTCCTATAAAAAAGCAAAGTTTGTCCTTCCTACACTCTCTAGTCGCCGTCTCGGCTAACGCTCGTTTGTCTGTCTGGCTGACTTTCTTTCTTCCTGTTTCATAATTAATTGTTTTCTTTGTACCTTCTTTTACGTTGCTGATTTCTTTCCCCTTTCCCTCACATTTCTTCCTGTCCTTTTTATGACTGTCTTTTCTATACGTTTTGTCTTGCTTATTTTGTCAGCCTGTGGGCGCACATGCACTCGTGCTGATGTTTGCGTCTGTGTGTGGGCGTGAGTTAGTGAGTGAGTCAATGTTGTGTATCTGCCTTGCACCTCAAGGTAATAAGTGTTTGTGAGTGTTGTAAAGAGAGTAAACAGAATTGAACCTTGCTTTATCTTAATCTGTCTTTCTTTGTATAATTCTGGCCGGTTGGCGAGTGCTCTTGTGTGATTTGCTCCTGCTTTCCTATTCAGCATAGATATATCGCCCTTATCTTTCCTACTTGTTTTCTTTGTGTATTACTATCAAACATCTATCGTCCTTATTTTCCCCCTCTAGCAGTAACACCTCTTATCTTCGACATTTACATCATGACGAGTTTTTACAAAAACTAAAATTGTATCTTATCTTAAGTTATCCCGTCTTTTATTGTCTTTTCTTATGCTTACATTAACCCATGTTATCTTGTCTTATCTTATTTAATCCCGTGTTATTTTGTCTCATACTATCTTAACCCACTTTATCTTGCCTTATCTCATGCTGCCCCCAGTGCCACACGTCCACGGGCTACTGCTGGTGTGTCACGCGTGACGGTCGTCACATCCCAGGTACCTCCACAGCCGGCCGCCGGCCCAGGTGCAAAGGTGAGCAACTATTGTTTTCTTTCTTTTTGCTTTATTTTTTTTCGTTCGTATATATATTAAGAAAGAGAGAGAGAGAGAGAGAGAGAGAGAGAGAGAGAGAGAGAGAGAGAGAGA